CATGAATAACTGCGACTGCCTATAATTAAATAATCCAGCGGCCGTGTCAAATAACTTATTTCCCACCGTACAGTCAAATAAATTCTCAGAATTTGGAAAAAAAATAAACACATATCCCTCGATATTAAAGCGCGGTGGTCGTCGTGCACCGCGTTTTCGAATTTCATGTAAACAAACTTTATATTCTTCACGCGTTGTGTACGTTGCTTAAGAGTCCCATCTCGAACAGGACGCGGCCCGACGACCGCCGCCCTTTAATTACACATTGCATCGGAAATTGCCATTCCCATAGTTTTATCTCACTTTCTTCGTTATTGCGAAGTAACGTTATACGACTCGCGCAACAAACAAACAAACAAATAAAAAAATATAAAATATCTCTGGACCCCCCAGATTTTAAAAAAATATGGTGCTATTGCTGCCACTGCAATATGCCGAAAGAATGACGTGTTGAATTATGATTCGTGAGTGCATTTGACGTGTATATTCTGTATTTGGTATGTATTTGGGACAACCATGTAATTGGAACCAAAACAGCGCCCCCTATCACCACTGTTAAAAAGTTAAATTCCAAGATGGCGGATAGTATTAACTGCGTTCTCTGACCAATAGCACACATTAATACCAATTTTATTGCGACATTATCTACAAAATGTCGACACAGAAAGCTGAAGACGATTCAATGGAAGAAGGGGAAATCGAAGATGGCGAGATTGAAGAAGAAGGGACAGTAGCTGAAGTGAGACAGGTTACCTTTTGTGGTGTCTCTTCCAGAGGAATGCAAGGCCAGCCTTCACAAGTGCATACCTTTTCCGAAAGACGTCGACGAAAATTTAACCCCAGTGACCAAATTAGAGCTCCCAGAGGAGGATATTGGATCGGCACAAATAGACTGCGTGGCGTGGGCCAGAGAGCATACGAACATACGAGTCCCGGTGTTCGACTGCTGCGCGGTCGGGGAAAGGGACCAGGGCGAGGACAAGGAACTGGAACTGGACGTGGACGGGGCCGATTTCAGTCTGGCAACAGAAACATGAGGGGTCGAGGGGTGAATAAGAGGGGAGCTTACAGAGGCTCAACGAAACGTATCCTTTTATTGTTTGCCATATTCAAATTATAGATGGCGTCTTCGCTGTGTGTGTGTCTCTGTGTGTTCAAGCACAGGAGGGAGTGTGTTCAAATTATATGAAAAACATGTTTTTGTCTCGACTCGTGCTCACCTGTCACATTTCAATATAATGATGTCATAAACGCGATTAAAGTTATCACTCCTAAATTTTGATTACAGTTTTATGACTAAGGTGTGCATATTTGATGGTTTTGAATTAGAGAATTGCGAGAATAATGTACTAAATTTAAATTTTCAATGTGAAAGAGTCTCTTTTCCTCACCCCTAACCCTTAAATTACTCCAACCGTACCTTTACCCTTCAGTGATCCCCAATTAATTGTGTATGCACTATACTATAAAATTTTCACTGGGTTTAAATTTCACTGATTTACCATTTCAGAATTATTCAGTGGGTTTTAAATTCACGGTTTTATCATTTAGATAATGTGTTCCATGCTAAATTTTACATATTTGCTGGGTTTTAATTTAGCGCATTTTCCAGTCAGCGAAATAAACCAAATTAAAACCCAGTGAATAATTAATCCTTTTACAGTAGTTATCTAGAGAGGGTATATACAATCAGATTGGAAAGCTAGAGGTGAGAGTTAGGAGTAGGGTACAAAAGAAACTCTTTCCACTAACGACTTTGTGTGAACAAACTTTTATAAATAATAATTACAGATGCCATGAATTTGGAATGATGGCAAATTCAAGAGAGTGCTCGAATATTGCTCAACATTATTCTCACCAGGAAATAAATATGTCAGGCAGAAATGTTTAATCAGTTTATAAAGTTTGAGAAAATTATCCATCCATGTGGAACTTGAGACATGAGCATTTCGTTCCTCTTATGTGTTTTCACCATATTGAATATTGCCAAGGATCATGGAATGGAAATTGAACCATAGTATTTAACAAAATATCAAATGTTTAATATTAAAACAATTGTCACAATATTGGTGTAGTACATGTATAAGAGTGCATAAAAGTCTAGCTATGTACTGGTCTATGAATGTGGAGATGCTCGTTTTCACTAGGACTGTTGATCGTCACATAAATACCACCCCTTAAAACATCCTTGCATATAGCGCTAGTAACAGTCCTGTCATAGGAACGCCATTGTTATTTGCACATGTCATGAGTGCAGTACATTACGATTATACAGTTTTATTTAGGTTAGAGATCTAAATATTTCATGGATTTTAGTTTTGCCAATGTTGAAATAATAATTATTTTCCAGTGTAAATAAACTGCAGTGTAAACTAAACTCTGCACCTGTCGTCTACATCATTGTGTTGTCACTTGTATTCCCTTATATTTTTATGAAACAATTTCTTCTCATAAAAAAAAAAAAAAAAACTGAGAGAAAAATATAAATGATGGGGTGAATGTCTGATGTTTGGTAAGGACACTGAGTGTGACCTAATAACAACAATACATGTAGTCACAAAACCCTGATAAAACTCAGAGTGCATTGCAATGGTTAGTAGTACACCTGTGGTGATTTCACATATCATTGCCATCGCATTGCAAAAGAGTTTTACCACACTTCCTGCTTGTTGAGTAAGTTTTTATGTTTTGCTGATGTATACATGTTGTATTTTCTCGCGGGTAATGGATAGCAGAATGTTTACAAATAATGACTTCTTTCATTTCACGTTTGGTGGTGAAATATACATAATCCCAAACTAATTTGTCATAGGTGACTGGCGAAGGGTTAGTGGTAGCCAAGGTTTATGTCATTCACATGTCTTGACAACTGTATTAATTTCCTTAGTATTATCATTTAGCATTACCTGTCCAAGACACAAACTATCAACAGTACCCTTCCACGGACGAAGAGATCAATCGGGCAATACAAGAGAACAAAAACACCTTTGAAGAACTGCTAAAGGAACACCGTGCAATACAGGCTAAGTTGGAGGCATTGAATGCAGAGGAAGTAAGAACGAAAGCAATCTTGCTAAAAAACCCAGTTGTAGACGTTGATCAGAAGACGGAAGAGTTGAACAAGGAAACTGAATTTATTACAAAGGACTTACCAGTGGACAAAGCTGTGAAAGCTCAAAGGTCGCGAAGGAGGCGGTCAAGATCAGGATCTCAAGTTAAGGTGAAGGCTAAGACTTCCTCACCACCTGAAGCCAAACCAGAGGTATGGCATATTAACTTGGAATCTGTATTAGTTCAAAGTATTTATTTTTGCTGTTTTCCTTGTAGTGAAAATGGTATTATACATGTATGGCTGAAGCATTTTCATCACAAATACCATATTTGTTCTATTAGAAGTGCACATAAACCAAAAAATTATTAAAATACAGCTTATTTTGACCATAGAAATGCCTGTTAAGCACATATGCTACTAATAGTTGAGGGTGTTGAATTTTTGCCTGTTATCGCGAACTTCTGACTGTTTAACAAACCCAGTATTGTCCGAATTACAAGTACAAATGCAAGCTTTGACTCAGGTTCAACCAAAGTAACATTTGCAAGTGAATTAATCTTGATTTGACCATTCCCCATTTAAATCTGATTGCAAGCAACTACCTGCTATGCTATTGGTGATTGGATGTCATCATGTTTTGTATTTCTTTACAGACAATTGAAGATGAGGACGATGAGATGTCTGAATTACAGCTGAGATTGATAGCACTGGCTTCTGCCACAAAGAAAGTCATCAGCAAGGCGGAGGAGGAGGAAATTGAAAGAAAAGAGTTAGAGGAAGAAATTGGAGCATCGGAAGAAAGCAATGTGGAGGAAAAAGTGACTGAAGTGATCTCTCCAACAAAGAAAGGTAAATACCAATATAATATGTATGTGATGGTGTACTAGAGAAACGAGGCAGTGTAACTGTTCTATTTCTTTTGAGGTTGTGTCATATAGAATTCATACATGATTAGTAGGAAGTTTTACATGTATTCTTATTTTCTAACCAATAGACCAATTTCAAGTACTGTAAACTACTTGATTTTCGCTATTTTCGCTGAAGAAATGATTCAGTGAAAATAAAACCCAGCGAATTTAGGTTTTTTCTTACATTTTTCATTCAACTCAGTGCAAATAAATTCCATACAGAACACCAAAAAAGTGTTTTCAGCGAAAATTTATTCCAGCTAAAACAAAGTATTTTACAGTATATATGTACCGGTATGTGGTATTCAATTCATCTCAGTGACTTAGGCAATTTCTTTCATGGCTTGTTGCATCAACTCTTATTATATACCTTGTATAACACCAAAGGAATCCAAATTTGCCTGAATACTTTAGGTCTTGAATTCAAGAGTCGCCTAAGATTCACTGACTATTGGTATGAACTCTTATCTCAGGGCTACCATTTTCCAAAATTGTAGCCCAAGTTTTACAAATTTGTTAAAATTAGATATTTTGTTTTTTACTTAAACACAGTAATTTGTCTTGAAAGCTATGGTCTGCATACATTAAACAGTAACACATATTTATTTATTTGTATTTTTACATGACTACTAGTACAGTGTAAACTTGATATGACTATGGGATTTACCAGTCTACAGTGGTAGCCTCCCTGTCAGGATTCTGTCAATATATTTAATTTTGAGCCCTGTACTTACAAATAAAATTTGGTGTATTTCATAGACATTATTGTTACTCATCACTGATGAATTCCTAACTTATTTGATTGACAGCTGAAAAATCGAAACGTCTTTCCAGAAAAGAGAGAAGTAGGAGATTACGCAAAAAAATACACTCTCATAAAAAACATGAAGTTGAGAAGAAAAGAAAGGAAGCTGCTGAAATACGGAATCTGGAGAATGAAGACGAACAGTTTAGTAGATTTCTCAAGTTTGTAGGCAAGGATGAAAACGAGATCGAGAGTCGAAGAGAAGCAGGCAAGATACGAACTTTAGGTGATGAACACGAACAATATAAAAGGTTTATGAAGTTTGTGAAAAGAGAGAAAAGGATGAGGAAAAGGGTAGGTTTTACTGACGCATAAATAAACAATCTGGTTTCTACTATCATTCTCTTCAACACCTGATAACACATTGAGCTCAAGAAATCTTTCGTCAGCACATTTTCCTAGTGAAATCAGAATAATTTTTCTTTTAAAAATCAAGGATTCCAAATGGAGTGAAATATGGACTGCAATCTCCCAAAACAAAAAAACAAAACATTTAGATGTTTTACAGGCAGTGAGCCTTGGAGAAGGTATTTTTTATTTCGTGAACTTTCTTCTTAAAAACAAGAATTTCAATTTAAGTGAAATATCACCTGCAATCTCTTAAAGCAAAAACTTACATTTTGATATTTTACAGGTACTAAGCCTTAGTTATTTTTTGGGCCTGGCTGCTTGCATGTATTCAACTCACATGTTTTCATAGTTATGGATGTGATTCAAGACATCCAATTGTTATTACATAATACATTCACTTCTTAATTTTGTTCCAGTCTTCATCATTTCATGAGAGAGAAAACAGTGAAGGTACACCATTGAGAGATGAGCAGTCATCGTTAGTGCCGTTTACTGACAATAATACCGAATTTAGTTATGATATGGACAACTATGAAGAAGTGGAAATGGACGTGGACAGCTCTGAAAACTCATCATGTAAGTAATCATTTCCAGCTTGTGCTTATTTCATTGTTTTCACTAATGTAGTCGTAATATTACAATAATATTTGTATCCCTTTTTTTTCTCAGTGGTGTCACCATCACCTGTTTCGTTTCTTGCTGTAAAGGACTCAACAAGTTCTCAGTCACTGATAGTAAGTGTACATTTATTGAGATATCTGTCAGTGTCATGGGGTATGATCTAGACAAACAGGTTATTAGAACCTCAGCCATCTAAGAATGTTCATTAATAAGTAGTGTCATACTTTTACACTTTTTACCTATCCTTTGTATGTTCTACCTCCACCCCATGATGTTGGGCCAAATCTTTTTGTAATTGCAATTTATGTGTTTCAAAAGTATTATGAAAACCAACAAATTAAAGCTATAATGTGTATTTGCAAACTACAAAATAAAAGAATTATTATCATCAAAAGCTGATCCAATTTATGTTTTGAATATGTTTGGTGGAGTGTGGCAGGGGTGTTAACGGTGTATTATCTGTCTCCATACTGTTCAGGGATTAGCTGTTGTAATGTAGCATTTAATGGTCTTTTCTTCATTTACATTTCCAGTTGATTCAAGTGTTATTATTTGTTAATAAAAATGAAAAAAAAAAAAATTCATGATTCATAATCCAGTTTTTGTAATCACTACTAGATTGTGTGCGATATCTTATTTTCAGGATGCTGCAGGAGAGAAACTGGATGCTGGTAATCATAGCAACGAGGAAAAGGTGGCTGATGATGATGAAGATGTACTAGCACTAAGAGAACAGTTACTGAAATCCATGGCAACCAAAAGAGCTTCTACTGTTCCTGATAATACCAAGGTACTAAGACCAAATATTACTATGGTGGGCAGACTTGCAATTTATTGTTTTATATGCTAAATCCCTAAGAACAAATTTGTAGAATCTTCTGCGTTGACGAGAAATTATCATAGTCTATACTGCCACGCCCTCTATAGTTGTCACCATGTTTTTGTAGGGATAAATATGCTAATAAGTAGCAAGACTTGTGAGTTGCCAACCAATAAAAAAGGCAGCTTTTTGTCCGATCTGTTTCACCCAACTATAACGCATGCACAGCCTGGCATGAAGAATCTTTTGGGCAAGTGCACCACATGTGTTCCACTCGTGGGTACAATAACATCACTGCATATCATGAATATGTAATAGCAATAGATATAGTGCAGAATTGACCAGTTGTCATAATTTCGCGTTGGACCATGATTTAAGAAATAAAATTGCCACAGCTGGGCCAGTCTATTATGGTGAGATTTAGGTTGATTTGTTCTCATCTCAGCCTTCACTTTCAATCATTTAATAGCCTTACATATTACATTACCGTAAAAACTCGATTAATTTGCGGTAGTAAAAATCATTATTATTTCAAGTGCACGAATTAATAGCGTAAAAACGGAAATTATTACATATGTACTGCAGTTTATTTTGATTCGTCCATGAAATCAAAATCGGTATTTCCACAACCCATATGCAAATGAGGTCTGAGAGCAAACAAAGTAGTCCCTTCAGGAGTACAGTTTTTCGAAATAAACAATATTTAGAAGTATGATATTTTCCCCTTGGGGTACATGAATCTACTTGCCGAGTGAAATGAAATTTGAACAACAGTAATGGTACTTTTAGGCAGTCACTTATTTTGGCCCAAACTAATTTGCATATCACCCATGCAATAATGTTTTCGGTATTTTCACGGTCGATATGCAAATGAACATGGTATTTTCATTGGCTACCGAACTATTTTTATTTTGTAAACACATTTTCGACTGCTATTTTTATCCAGTTCAAATCGTTCAACAACATTTTTTGGCATGTCAGGTGTACATCACATGGAATACTACGATTGGAAGAACTTAATGTATGTTGACCACCTGGAAACTGAGTTTTATAAACCTTGAAGGGCTCTCAGAAGATCCACCAGCAGTAAAATCAGCGATTACTATGCAGCCGAACCATCAGCATCGAGATACCAGGTTTCTGCTGGCGACGTTGCGGCGTTACTCAGTTCCAAATAAAAATTACCAACGCCAAAAGAG